TCAACAAAATCATGCTTAGCATATTTGACAATGTTTAGATCGTGATAATGACAGTCAAAAGTACTTGAGCAAAATAGGAAAAAAAAAAATAACTTTGGTCAATTTTTGTAAATTCTGTTCAGCTTAATTGTGGGTTTTCATGTGACTAGTGAGACCAGAATGGTTTGCTGCAGATTTTCTGGCACATCCTGCATGTTATTTCCAGCATAGTAGTGGTTATAATTTGTAAAATATACCAATATGACTTTTCTTTTGGCTGACGAGTGGCTGCAGAGGGAAATGCTATGCCACATTCATCACATGTAAATTGATGGATATGGCATGCACACACAAGTGTTAAGTCTTTTGTAGCAGTGTAGTAAGGATACATATAAATCTCTACAATGTTAAATATGTTCTTACTGCATTACCATACATGAATCTTAGTTGCAAAAAGGAAAGTTATCTTGAGTTTAATTAAATATTTATAATTAAATTTCTAAAGCTCATTATATCTCCAAACGTTTTGGTTATTTTTTATTACATGTTGTGATAAGAAGCAGTTTCCCTCCTTACTATCATGAATGGACTAATCCATTCAGAAGTAGTCCTGGGTAATTGTCTCTGAAGAAGATAATACTACTGCAGTAACGTCTAGCTAATGAGTATTGGATACTATTATGACTGACTCTGTCAAGTATTGTCTTGCCAGATCTCACAACACTGTTTGCACATTTTCTGCAACATCTTAAACTTGATATATGGATGCAGAATTCATATATATGGAAATGGTTAATTTTATTGTTTTTAGTAATGTTATAATCTGTTTGTTATTTTTGAATAAATAATATTTGCTCAACTCTGTATTGAGCACTCTTTTTAAGAATAGCGTTCTTGGTTATTGGAATTTTACTCCATTTACACCAATGCTCATATATATATATATAGTAATATGCTTCAGCATAATCTTCAGGCCAGACAAGAAACAGAATATTACTACTCAGTGCCCATTTATAGGCTTATAAACACCCTATCTCTGATATTGGGCCCTTTTACCCATAATTATACCATACCATAAAACTATATTTTTACATATATATGAATTGGAAAAAAGTTAGGTGTACCTATCTTTTTATATGTATTGCCTGTCCAGATCTGTTCATAGTTGAATTGAGTGTTGGGTGTAGCTGCAAACATAATTCCTATATATGCTTAATGGGGTTTAAATCTAGGAAGTGTGAGAGACCAATGTGATATTTGTTGCCGTTTTTATGCTGCTTATGCATAAGAGGTTCTATTATCTTGATAGAACAAACCATCCTCTTTGGGGATTTATGATAAACATAAAGAGTTGCAGATGATCTACAACAAGATCTGTCTTGCACCTGACAAGATTATAATTTAATTTCTTCTTCTTGCTCAGTCGAAGAGAACATGCCCTACACTATTACACAGCTACCATAAGCTTGCACAGCACGCTGACAACGGGCTGGATCAATAGACTTATTCGGTTTACTTGGAAATGTGACTTTTTGACAGCTGATGTAACATGAGTTTTCCACAGTCCAGTGATGATGTTCTCTTGCCCAAGTAAAACATGAAAAATGCAGTGGTGTTGATGGTGATGTTGCTGGTTGATTATAGAATGCAGTGTATGCTGCAGAATGCATTGGCCTTGCTTGTTAAGTGATTACCATACTTTTCATTTTTCACTGTTGACAGTCTTGTTTTTGTCTCCTTTGTGCATCTTCGGTTTTCACCTGCTGCTGTTTGTTTTGAATTAAAATTCTTGGTATACTCTTTGCTATTTTTGTTTGATAAACGTGTGTGTTTATTTATTTTTACTTTTTTTTTTTTTTTTTTTTTTTATTTATTATATATAAATGTCTGGCCAGAAAGATCGGGTACTATGATTTTGTTATCAAATGATGTTAAAATTTGTTTGTGTCCCTTGGATGCCACAGTCACACTACCTCTTTATCTGTTATGCCACACATGCATTATCTGGTTGAGTCTATTTTTACAGATAAGGAGGGCAAAAAACACCTGGTTCACCATGGTTTCTTTGTCTCCACTTCAGTGTGTATATGTATAGATATTTTTTTTTTTTTTTTTTTTTTTTTTTTCATGTGTGTAACACTATCAGCCCTAGTGGACTCTTCTGGTGATGAAATAGAATTTTATGGCAAACTTAATAATTTATTCAGTGATAAATAGCATCTGTTTCCTTTAGTTATAATTTACAAGAAGGGTGCCGATATTCAGAGATTACTTGGTTACTTATTTGATGCATCATTTTACTTAGACTTATTGCAACTAACACCAAAATAATTGCAGCGTAATTTGTGTTACAAAGAGAATGCAAAAAAAAAAAAGAACTTTACAAGTAGAATTTAGCAGTAAAATTAAATTTTGCTGCTTTTTAATGATGCAAGAAAACTAGTCAAAAGAATTTTATGATATTAAACTTTGACTTTATAGTTAGATTGTTTTAATTATTTTTTGTTTGTAACTTTATTATTCTGAAATAAAGTTGTATGTCTGTTACACTTGTGATTCTAATGAAATCTGTCATTGAACTTTAATCTTTAACCTATAACCATTTTTGTGTCTAATTTCCCCTCTTTACTTTTTTCCTTCTAACATTTTCTACAAATTAACCAAGCCTTTTCTGATCCATTTATGCTTTCTAATGTAGGTTTTGTTCTTTTTATTCCTACATTCAACTAAAATTAAAATTGATGAAAACTGGATTATTTTTTTATTTTTTTCCTCTAAGGAAAAAGGTCATTAATATCTTCTGCCATATATATTTAAAAAAAAACCCCCAAAAAACATAATTTATACTGGTCAGTCATTTGCTTCTTCCTCACTCCTGATGTCAGTGATGCTTACTATATAAGAAAACCTATTTTGTTGGTGAGATTGAAAGAAACCTGTTATATATATATATATATATATATATATATATATATATATATATATACACACACACACCAGTACAACAAAATCCCAAATTACCACATATGGGGAATAGACCTATTTCAACTGACGAAAACTTTGTCAGTCTTATTCAACTCTGGTATATAGACCATATTCGTGTCTGAATTAGAAATTTAACTGTTAGCTGTCGAAAGATTAGTACAGACTTTATTCATTTCAATGTTTCAGTTGGGCAAAAGGCCTGAGACAGTGGTCAGAAACTTAACCTTATCTATATATTTTTTTTTTTTAAAAACACTCTTTTTGTTCCTCTCTTAGTTTCAAATTAACACTTCCTTCTTCATATAACCCCAATTTAATGTTGTAAGGTTAATATCTGGGTTTAATTTTATAAAACCTCTTCTCTTTAATGCTAATGCCTTCCACCCTCTCTTGCCCACTGTCTTATGCATTTCGTCCAACTGAAAGCTTGAAATGGATAAATTCTGTATCAATTTTTCAAATGCTGTCAGTTAAATTTCTAATTCCAACACAAACTGAGTCTGTATACCAGGGTTGAATAAGATTGAAGTTTTCATTTGATCTCTACCCAATCTGAGGTAATTTTGGATTTTATGGTTTGCTACTATTTATTTGCTCTGTATAATAATCAGTTTTAATATTTTATATTACTAAAATACACTTGGATTATATACCAACAAATTATTACCTTTTACTTATATATATATATATATATATATATATATATATATATTATATATATATATATATATCTCCCCATGAAAATTGAATTTTTTTTTTTTTTTTTCTTTATGATTAAAATTTTCTGATGAGACAGATTTACAGCCACATCATGTTGGAACACTGTTTTCCATTTAATCACCAAAGTTAAGCAACATTGAACCTGGTCAATACTTAGATGGGTGATCATTTGGGAAACCAGGTAGTATATTAGATAATGGCTTGGGATTGTTTATTAAAGAGCAGAATTCCAATTGGGTTCATTTTATTTGCTTACACACAAATACATTTGGCAAAGGGTATTACTGCACCTCTGCTCATCCCAGCTCTGGATTAACTAGTTGGATTGTTATCAATAAACTATTATCTCAAAAAAAAAAAAAAATCTTACAATAATCTAAAAATATTTTCTGGCTTTAAATAATCTACAAAGGCTTGATAAGGCATAGAAAATAAATCAATCAATAAACTGATGATTCACAATGATTGAATATATTCCTTGCAATTTCTATGCCTGTGAAATACCTAAGGGAATTCACTTCTTGTTTTGTTAGATATTTGAATCTAATAACTTTGACAAAATATTGCAATAACAATCGTAAATATGAATGCATATCCTTATTTAAAGAAATAAGGTGAAAATGAAAATATTAAAAATTGACCAGGTTTTACTTCATATATTTATAACACTTTATTTTGAAAGTTTGACTTTCACAAGATAAACCGTACATATGTATATACTGAAAGTAAAATAAAAGACATAGAAATTTCTGACATCGTTAACACTTCTTTGTATACAATATTCTTGGTGATATTTCTCCCCTCTTCTTTTATATTATGCATGATTTTTTTTCTCACTAAAAGTTACTGTTGAGAAATCCCTTGCATACTTCTTCACCCAATTTACATTTAAGTGTCTGTCAGTAAGATTAAAAAAAATTGAAGCTTTGGTTGCTTTCATGTATTTGGCTAATGTCTACATTGGGTAAATGTGATGGGCTGGGTTCTTCCTTGGAAGACATGGAGAAGTGTGGAGTGATGTTTTGGGCTAGTGTCATACATGGTAAAATTATCGATCTCTTTAAAGTTGATGATGGTATCGAGATGCTTGCAAAGAATTATTTGCTAGCTTATGGACATTGTTTTTTGGATGGTGCAAGTCACAATCAAGAATTTTTAGGCTAAAATGTTTGCTTGTGCAAGAGCAAAGTTGACTATTGCCCACCTGGACAAGAGATTATTGTTTTTGTTTAACAGTGTTAATGTAGCAAGTCTCATTTCTAATGATAAAACACAATGTTGTGGATTAATTTATTTATTCTTTTGTTTGTTTGTAGGTTGTTCTATCTTGATGGCTTCTGCTATGAGACAAGTGGCTCTGGCCTCAAAAACCTCCCTTACTCGGCGATTTTTCTCCCGGACAGCTTTGCCACAGCTGAGAGTGTCCCAGGTAATTATTACCATTTGGATCAGTAAATGATATTGGCAATTGAGCTTAAGTGATGTAATATGATACTTTAAATAAAAATAAATAAAATAAACATACTGAAATAAAATAGCCAAGAACTCTTTTTATAAACAGGAAGCAGTTACCAGGCAACAAACCAAGTACTCTAAATATAATTTTAAAAAGTAGGCTTGTCAGAGATTAGCTGAAAGGCTGGCTTTGTAGTGGATGTAGTTTTTAGTAAAAAGGTTTTGGATTTCAGCAAAATTTCATGTGCTGATTTCTTTGGAGTGACAGTAATGGTTAGTGAAGCTAGTCAAGTTAATATTGAGCAATGAGTATGATTCTCACTAGGTGCTTCAGGCAAAATTCAGTATTAAATAAACTAACAAGTAGACTCAACCAACTTAACCTAAAATCACTTCCAGGAACCTCGAGTTGGGCTAATACTTACATAGTCTACACGGTTTGACCATGACTACTGAGCAGGGCGTTCAATCCTCACTGTACAAAATCTGACCTTAAATCATTTCAGTTGCATTTTCCTAGTAAAATAATTCCTAAGCAACTCCTTGGGGAAAAGTATGAATCAACTTCTTCCCCAGCTATGGGTTAAATAGTAGGATGTGTCCTATAAAATAATTATCTCCAAAGTAATTCTTAAAATCCAAAAATATTTGCTTGCTTTAAATAACCTGAAAAAAGTTAAGCCAATAAGAAATGAATCAATCTAGGCAAGTCTATGAGGGTAATGGTTACCAAGGCTATACTGGTTGACCATTGTTACTGAGTTGTGAGTTCAATCCTCACTGAATGACCCTGCAGAATTTGATATTTAATTGACCCAATAAGGATTGTCATGTAAAATCAACCATCCTAAGTAAATAGGCTCCTTAGTATTGGTTTGTGAGGCTCATCTGGTGGAGTTTGATCTTCACTGGGTGCTCCATACAAAAATTTAGCATTCAATAACACAAATGTTTTGACATATAATAAAACATCAACCAGCTTGATCTAAAATCACTCCTAATTGATTTTCATGACAAAATTTTCAGGCTCTGCAGCATGGAGTGATGGTTGTCGAGGCTCCTCTTGTTGACCATTATTACTGATTAGTGAGTTCAGTTTTCACCGAGTCCATGCAAAATTTGATATGAAATGACCCAACAAGTGTTGATGTGTTGAAAAATCAATCGACTCTATTGGAAGACTGGCATAACTATATTCCTCAAACTTAGCCTTTTGCCATTTGAAGCAAAATACAGTTAATCATTTCACCCCGAGCAAGGTGATAATGCCACTAGGATGCAAAGAATTACAGAGAGTGAAAGAGGAAGGTGAAGGCTTTAGTGATAAAAAGTGAGGAGAAAGGTCAATAAATGAACAGAATTCAGGAAGGCAGAAGATGGTGATTGACATTACATTTAAACTTTTGAAGGTTGTAGGTGGCAGGGAAGCAAGAAACCAGAAGACTTCCACTGGTGAGAAGTGTGAGAAAAGAATCTATTAGAATAGGACTTTTATTTACATCTACCTACTTTAGCAGTAAAATGCTGAGACCTAATTGCCAATCTAATAACATGCTTAAATTCATGCAGTCGAGGCACCAAGTAGGAAAGCTTATGAGAACAGTTGTCATAAAAATATTTGTAGTAAATGTGAGGGAAGACATGTCGCATCTGTGAAAAAGTGACTGACGTTGAGATGCCAGGTTGTGGTGAACAGTCCCATAGAAGCAAGCGAGCCAGAGTGGCTTGCATCTGGTGCTTAGGAAAATAAGGGTCTTACCTTAATGTGCGGCATGTGACATCAGCAAGTTTGCTCCATGGAAATGGCATTACTCTCCCATCTAGTATGTGCAGTAACATATCAAGTTGTGCGTTGATTGGTTGAACTGGAAGAGGCTATTTACCTGGGTAACTGAGAATAAAAGTGAAGAACGCTGATTAGTTGGTCGACTGCAGTGTTGGCCTGATAAAAGAGGGCTAAGGCAGCAAGGAAGGGAGACGGATTTTACATTTTGAAGTGTTCGGAAAGCAAGAACGATGGATTGAACTAGTGGTATCTTGAATTGTAAGAGCGATGTCTTAGTAATAGACTCATTTCAGCAACACGAGTCGGGTTTGATTACATTATGGGCTATTCTTTGAATTTTGTCAACTATCTCGAGATAGTCAGCAGGAGCAGCATACCAAATATAGCATGCAATATTCAATGCATGGATGAATGGTACGTTTTTAAATTTGCAAGATGGATTCTGATGAGGAAAGTTGTCTGGCATAACACAGTGAACCAACTTTCCTAGCAGTAGACATGGTACTTGGTTCAGCAAAAATGTGAGCCCAAGAGGTGGAGAAGGTTTTCTATGGTAATTTAAATAAAAGCACTTTTGTTTTGGAGTCCTTAAAGATTGGAGGTCCTTCTGGAAAGCAGTTGCCAGTTTTACTTTGTTGGGTGTGTTGGTCTTGCAACTAAGACAGGAGTAAATACTTTACCAGCATAAATACTTATAGGCATGAGATGGTACATAGTTGCCTTAACATATATGCCTCATTAGTACACAAGTCTGTAACTAGTATGTATTCTACATGTAAAATATTTCATTCATTTAAATTCTGTAAGTTTAAACATTGTTTATCTTTTAATGTTAAATGCCTTGTATTCCTTTTGTGTTTGTTTTTTGCTGTACAAATATTTTTGGAAGTTAATGTTTACAATGTGACAATTTATAAATGATTAATTTTTAATGTGTGTTGTCTGGTCAAAAACTACAAAAATTAAATAAATGCTAATCAGAATGATTTTTGGGAAGAACTAATTTCCATTTTAATAGCTGAAGAGAAATTCTAATTAAGCTGCTTATTGCTGGGCCTGTCCAGACTGTCACTATAAATGACTTGATTGTATGGAAAGTGCTACTTGATACTAAAAAAACATGTTAATCTAGCACCTGTAGTTCTGCTGACAATAATATAAAGATGTTTGTTTAATTTTCCTTCTGTTCCTGCTATTTCACAATTGAAGGCGGTGTTAATAATTTGCTTAAAAATTTGTAAAAAAAAAACAAAAAAAAGATATTCTAATCATGAAAATGTAAAAATTATCAAACTGAAGCCTTATATTTTTAATTCTCAATGCAGTCAGAAATTCTTCTAGCTATATCAATTATGACTAAATAGCAAGTTTGATCCTCACTTAGCGCCCTATACTTTCGGCCTTGTACCACATCTAAGTTATGCTTAGAAAATCACCAAAGAGATTCTTGATGCTTAAAGTTGACAATTTTTTTCTCCTTGAATGAAGTTTACAAATAAATGCTTTTCTGATATAAATGTTCACTGATGGTGTTGTACTTCTCTAATCCACCAGGTGATGTATTTGATAATTGCTTAATATAAATTTCTGACAGTTGATAATACTGTAGAGGAATGAGAGATGTGTAATGAGTATGTCAGATGGTATATTATTGAATTATTATGTAACTTGTGTTGGTTTAGCAAAATGGATAATCCAGCAGAGTTCTGGAACCATGAGTGCCAGAAAACCTGTTTCTTAATTTTCATAATTTGATTAATAAAATTTACTGTTTTATTTGCTTGTTTTTCTTCGTTTCAATGTGTGTGTGTTGTTTGTTTCTCTTTGTGTGTGCATGCGTATTGTCTGTTTCTCTGTGTGTGCATATTTTTTGGGTATATTCTTTTTTTGTGTGTGTATTTCGTTTGTTTGTCTGTTTTTCTTTTTATTAATTACTTAATTACTTTTGTTTTTTAGGGAGATGTTTCATCGCAAAGCCGCAACTTTGACCACTTCATCCTTCCTGCTGCTTTAGTGTTGACAGTATTTGGTGTCTCGGTCTCTCTGTTCAGCACTCACCAGTTATCATATAACTCCTGTCGATCTCTCAAGAAATAATAATGCTCTACACCAGTGTCCTTTTCTCTATCAGAAATGAATATGAAAGAGTTTAGATCTGTTGTGACTATATCATACATGCTATTTTGGTGTGCCCGATTGATACTATGTATGAATTCAATTATAGAGATGATTGTTATCTTTCGAAATAATCTTATCTATGTTGGACACTGGCTCCCAGTAGATATGAACTTTATTTTTTATGATCCTTGTAAGTAATAAAATAACACATGTATAGGTCTCTATTTTCCTTATGAGATGAGTCAATTATAAAAGCTTTTGAAGTTTTATTCAATTGCTGCAACAGCATAACATTTACCTCCTCTTTCTCTCATCTGATTCCTGATAAATACTTTATAGTAAAAATGAGATTATACCAACCAAACCTTTTGTGTGGATTTATATTTTGTCAAATGGACAGGTATGCTTGCATATCTGTTGAATTATACATGGTATAAATCAAATAATTGCCATATTTTGTTTGTTGTGATTCTAAAAGGGCATTAAGTTGGCATATACTTATTTTTTTTTTTTTTTTTAATGATCAAATTCATTTCTCTAAAATGACATGGACTATCTTTGTATACAAATATTTAGGTGCTGGGTAGTGGTTAAATCCCAATGTTTTGAAAAATTACCCCCCCTTCCAACCATGCACTTATGCCCTGTTAGCATCGCACTGATGATTTGAAAAAACCTAAAATATAAGCAAAGCAAAATGAGATTTTTTTTTTTTAAAAATCAATAAGGGGAAATATTTTCACTAGCAATTTGTAATCTTTCATGGAAATGTCTAATGGCATTTCGATGTCTTTCCTCTGTGTTTATTGTCTATATCTCTTAAAAAAAAAAAAAAAAAATACAAATTGACAAATATGGATAAACGTGCCTGCAATAAGACGGAGTGTCAAAGGATGTTTTTTTTTTTTTTTTTTTTTTTCTCATGACATCGCTATTATTTTAACTATATTCACTTGGCAATGTTTTTAGTTTTAAAAAGTGATGATTAGAATTGTAATAAAACCTAAACATGAAAGTGAATTTATACATACATTTTCTTTGTTCTTGAGAATTTACAACAAATAAACATTATTTAGTTATTTATTATATTGTTTATTGGAATGGTTGGCAAAACATTGGTTAATTGCCAATTGATTCAAACTTTATAAAATGGTAAATGAGAATTTCCTTTGTTGGTTCACATATTTTAATAATTTAGTAAATGTTTAGAAATAAAAAAAATTTTTTTAGCAATTGTTAAATAATAAATATTGCATTATCTAATTGTATCTAATAAATAGTGTTTTTAATATTTTTGTTGTAAATTCTCAAGAAACAAAAAAAAAAAAAAATGTATAAGTTCAATTTCATGATGTGTTTAGGTTTTATTCTGGTTCTAATAATCACTGCTTAAAATTATAAACATTGCCAAAGAGTTAATGTGTATGATAGATTCTGTTGAGAAAAATCATACATGATGGGTGGTAAACAAGGTTCTGTTTTTCATTGGTCAAGTTGAATTGTGTGTCTTGTGATTACAAGTATGTATGTGCACATTTGGATTCTAATGGGTATTTTTGTCTGTTTGGTAGTTTAAAAACCTGCATCTACGAACCTAAGAGAGAAATACATTGGGACAACCCACTGAAATCTCTTGGATCATAACTTTGATTTAAAAAGATGCCACCATAATAAGGAACATGCTTTACTAGGAAGAAAATATTTAGGAGATATTTCGATTGATAAACACACTTTTTCATATCACCAACTTTCATAAAGGCCATACTTAAAGACCCTCAGTTCTGCATACTTTTCACTTCCACAGTGAAAATCCCATAACCAACACACACTTTATCATCCAAATCCTGTAAGACCAACTAAAAATACAGATCCCAAAGATCTACCTGACCAGTGGAAGAAAACAACAAAAAAATCACCAATCCATTTATAAAAAGAATTCTGATGAAGTTTAAATAAAAACAAAATGTGATGCATACCTATGGAAACTACCTTATTGCCTTGTTAAATATTTGGGCTTAAAAGAAAAAATATTGCCAAATCAACCATAAGTTTGAGTGCAGGTCATTATTTAATATAAGAGTGTACAAATGAAAAGATTAAAAATTGACACCATTTTCCATTTCACTGAAGCAGAATCAATTTTTCTTCCTGTTGTGGATACCTTAATGAAGACTAAAGGGTTGGGGGATCTCCCACTCCCAGTGAGCTTAGCATGTATTTGGTCACCAACTGAAGTATTTCTGCATTCCAGTCACCCCCCCCCCTTGCTGCCAAAGATAGTTGATTCCATGAAAAGATTCACTCTCCATGTTTGGGTGTTTTTTTTTTTTTTTTTTTTTATAATCTGGCTGGGTGCCTAGATACCCCTCTTTATCAGAAAAATCTGGTGGGTGGGGAGACTTGTATTCCATTAGTGAGAAGTAAGTCTCACCCTGAACAGCTTCTGCCCATAAATTGCGACTGTGTGGAACCAAATACTGAAAGGTTGCTTTCTCAACCACTACAATCTTACCCTGCTCAAGTCAAGGTTTATCTTTCACATGTCCTCATACTACTCACAATCTCCTTCAGCAATGCTCTACCTTGAGTTGCTCTTGGGCTTTGTCTAGGGTGAACATCAGTAGAAAAAAAACATGCAATTTTTTTTATGTTGAAGAGATGAATTTCATGATCACTGAGAACATGATCACGGCTTTTTAAAAGCCTTGTTTTTGTCATATAGGAAAATCCAACATGGCGTGTAAACCAAATATTTGGCAAAAAATCTCATTCGTCAGTAACATTTTAAACACATAGAATGTAAAGTTCTTAAAGAAAACCTGATGCCAAAGTGTTTTCCTGAATCCTTGATGATTTGGCTGTCCGAAAATGATATCATCAAGATGAAATAATGGAAACTGACCGAGAAAAATACAATTATGTGCAACAGGTTTTCGATCGATCAGTAAACTTCTGGACCTTTTAGGGTGACGTTATAGGATCCAGACGGCTATTGTTTGCACATGGAATTATTCACTAGTAATTAATCTTCGATTTGGCTGTGGAAAATGTCACTTGGTTAGCATTAAGAAATTATGCCCAATTTTCTGAGAAAAATCAGTTTTTTTATGAAAAAATATTTATTTTCGCTTCAAAATAACATCATTCAAAATTCATTCCTTTCTCTTTCATTTGGCATGAACATCATTGAATAAAAGAAACAGCTAAATGGCCCGGCGATGAGAAATACGAAAGATATGCAGCGAAAAAAAACAATGTTTGCTAAGTGTTGTTGTCATCACCTGGGTCACGGGGTGTTAAAAAGAAAACAAAACTCATCAAGCCATTGTTCAAACATAGGTTATATCAAGCCCATAGTAATGTTGAACCCTTTTTTTTTTTTTTTTTTTTTTTTTTCACTCTTTGCTTTTATCTGTGAGTCGTGGGTTTTATTACAACTTGTTCTAAGGTTTATGGCTGGCTGACCTTTGACCCAGATGTCAAAGTCAATTAGGTTTAATTTTCCTTATTGCTGCTATTTTTTGGAAAAAAAAAAAACTTTTGGTTTCTGGTGGTTAGGAATTGCATATAAATCTTTTGCCATTTACTAAAGATTTCCGTGGCCGGGTGTCAATTTTTTTTAACCCTTGGCAGTCATATAATTAAAAATTACCAATGGATTTTGTCGCATTTTGAACCTCTAGGAATGTTGATTTCCTTCAAAACTCTCAATTTTATGCCTGAAATAGTTTGATTATGATTTAGGCTTTCTGATTTTCAAAAAAAAAGAAGGTTAATTTTCCATTAATGGGGGAAATATTTGTTTAGAACAAGAAAAAAATGCAAAATTTTCACTATTTTTTCACATTTTACCCACTGAAAAAAATTTTGAGTCATTTACACCAGCCAATTTTACTTTTAAATGAAAGAATATATCTTTTGCTTTCAGAAAATACCTAGTTTCATGGGGTTCAGATCTAAAGTTTCCTTGATATTTGTTCAGATGATGATAAAACAGTCATTTTTCAATATTTTACCCCTATAAAAGTATGAAAATCGATTTTTTTCAGAGAAAATAAGCTGTGACAAAATGACTTTTGCCATTTTTGTGATGATTTTCACTTGGGAAAGAAAATTTTTACCATAGGAAACCTGAATTGACTTTATTTAAGTTCAGTGGGGCTATAGGAAACCTCAAACACCTGTGGCATATAGAAGTAGATATTTCTTTTCAATTTTGTTCCTTGCTAATTTCAATCTGCAATTTTATTTATTATAATAATAATGATGTCAAAAAATGCCTAATTTTTTGTCAGATTTCGAGAGGCTATCATTCATTGCTTTTTTTTTTTTTTTTTTTTTTTTTGTAATCCTCACAGCAGTTTTCTCTTCTACAACCATTAAGCCAATTCCGTCACTGACCTTTTTCGAGTTCAGTTTTTGTCATTCAGGTGTAATATTTAATGAAGTTCCTTTTCTAACATTGTAAGAGTCTGAATTGGTTAAGACTTCATCTGATGGAAGCTGGATGAAGACAGCGGTTGGAGTGAATATCGTGAATTGCTTCCAGAACTTTAAAGGTAAAGGGAGGTAATAGCGGTAACTCCCTTTTTGATATTTTAGATCAAGGGAGATAATCACTTGTAGTCAAATTAGGTTACTATACAATGTTCTAAAGTAAGTATTGAATATAGTCTGTATTTTTGGTAATAATTGGTATGCCAACAGCTAGCAAGGTACTACTTCGAAGAACAGTGAAAATTATGTTTTTAAGTGAGAAATATATTTATATGTAGTGTATTGAAGCAGATCATTATTCAAACACACTCCTGGTCAAAATCTTAAGACCAAATACAAAAGGGGTTAAAAAAATATAAAATACTATTACTTTAGTCAAAATATTTGTGAAATATTTACATTTAATTAGAAGATGTAGTTTATCAATAAACAATTGAAAGTTTTAAGCTTTTAATTGATTAATTTAAACAAACATTGAAAAA